TCGTTTGGCATAACCATATTACTAATATATAGAGTTTTCACTGCACGATGGTTCCCTCTTTTGTGCATTTAAATCTTATAAGTCTTAGTTTTATTTTATATAATCTCATTCGCTTTATAGTCTTTGGTTATTTTTGTTTTCTTCATTTTATACACTTATAACATTTGTTCTTTCTACCATTTTTTCCAATCTTTATTCCCAAAACTAAAATTGTTCTAAACCCCTCCTATAATATGATTTGGACTTACATGTTCTGCTCTTTTACATGCATCAAACGTACGGAATTCAAAACAAACTAAAAATAAAAGATTTTGTACATTTGAACATAAGAATATTAGTATATGTTGCTCACAGGGCTGGTCCTAACCTAACGCCGGTGACAGCATTCGGCGTTAGGTATCAATATAGCTTATTTATTTTATGAGCATCAATTTTCTAAAAATTCTTTGTAGCCTAATGGTGAAACATAGAAAAAATGGGTAACAAGTGATGGATTTCGAATCCTAGATTATAAAATCACAAGTAATTTTTTAATTTGTGTTTATAACGGGGCATAAAAAATTTTTGGGCGTTAGGGAGGGCCGGCCTTGGTTGCTCAAGTGAAGAAAAAGATGTTGAATTGTTGATGGTTATCCACTTTCCATCTCACCATTGATATAGATGGATAACCTAAATATCTTTGAAAAAAAAACAGATGTCTCGTGTTCAATCAACTTCAACCCTCATTAAGCTATATATGTAAAGTAGGTTAATGAGTTAAGATGCATTAAAAAAGGTCCTTTTTCTTTTCGTTTGAATGACAATGCGGTATGGTTAACCATATAGATTTGTTAAACCATATGGTCTTCGTAGGTCTTGAAAGAACTCTTTGGAAGGTGAGTTAAAAAAAAAAAAATGAAATAAAGGACGGCGACATCAAAGCAATCATAAATTTTTTTTTTTTAAGTTTTTTAAGTATCTTATGTTCGGTAACAACCATAGACGATAATGAACCAATTTGTCTTTTAATCACCCATTAATTTGAATTTTTCTTCTTCTTCTGATCGATCTATCTTCTGAAAGTTTCAACTTTTTTCAATACCCATCTTTGATTTCATCGTAAATCTGCTTTCAATCTTCGCGTTTTTCTGTTTCCGATTAGACGACTTTCATAATTCATGTCGCCGGCAATTTTGTTAAAGACTTAACCTTTCTATTCGCAGAAGGATTCTTCTTCTCCTTTCAGGTTTTTTTGTTTTTGTTTCTGTCTTCTTCTTAATTCTAATCAAAGAGATTCTATAATGAGCAACTTCGGCGACTTGAATCCTGCGTTTTCCGGTGCGGGTCGTAACAAACCTGACCCGAGTTTCAATTCGGCGCCGTTTTCACGGTCATCATCTTCTGGTCTTTCTAAGCCGAGATTCTCTAAGGTGAGAAAGCAAGTCAAGTCTCAGAGCTTGAAGCCGTCGTCGGTGACTTCTGATTCCTTACCGGGTCAGGGTTTCAACCCGTTTCATTACCCTGGTCCATTTTCCGGTGATCCACTTCTGGGTGAGGTTAGATTTGGCCGGAGCAGTAATGAGAGTTTTGTATTCGGATCAATTGGTAGTGGGAAATTGAGCTCTGGTGAAGAATTTGGGAAAAGTGTAATGGAGGAAATGGGGAAGTTGAAGATTGAGAGTGATGATGGGAATTTGGCTTCGAGGCTTCCTGAAAATATGCAGAATTTGAATATCAAGGATTCTCATTTAGGCGAAAATGCGAGGAGGAATGTAGACGATGAACTTCCAACTCTATTGAGTAGTAAATTGACAATTGATGGTAACAAAGATAACTTCGGTTCTTCTTCTTCGTGGAGTAAAGGCAATGTGATCCAGGAAAGTATGGAGAAGTTGAATATTTCAGAGAGGGTGTTTGATCAGAAACAAAATAATAATGTCAAATCCATGGATTATGTTGGGGAGAAGATACTATTTGATGAATTGTGTAGAAAGTTGAGTGTTGGAAGTATAGCTACTGATGGGATAAATGTAAGGCATTCCTCAGCTGAGAACCTTTCTGCAGATTCACTTCAGGGAAATGCGAGTGGGGAGAACAGTTCACGTTCGATGAATTACAGTTTTCTAGGTACAGAGCCAAGTGAACATCTGAATCCTAGGAATGTTCATGGTGCGACCTCTACAGTAAATTCTCCCGATTTTAGTTTTTCAAGTAATCAGGACAGTGCGGGGACAACTTTTATGGAGTTCAAGACCCCTAATTCGAAACTAAACCCATTTTCTAGCTTGGACCAGAAATTGGGTTTCAATGTTAAGAAGGACAATGTTGGTGCCACGAGAGCGAGAAGAAAAGGGGGTAAGCAGCCTGTGAAAGTGCAGCTAAATATTGGACATGAGTTTGCTTTTGCAGAAAGTGCTTTTCCACATGGAAGCAATGAGGCTCCTGAGTCTTATTCACCGATGGATATATCTCCATATGAGGAGACAAGAGATTGTAGAGACTTTTCCGGTGTATCAGATCAGTTTCTGAATTCAGACAAAAGGCATCTCTCATCTGATATTCCGCCTTCTGCTCCAAATGATGTGTTTGATGAAGAGCTAGTTGCTGCAACTGAACGGATGGAAATAAACGAGGGGGATGAAGTTAATAACTATCAAGCTAAGGAACTTAATACTGGGAAATGTGCTGATCATGAAGATCCTGCTGAAGATTCTATATCTGGGGCTGAAACTGAAAGTTTTAAATCGGCAGCGGAAGAAATGGAAACTAGTAGTGAAACTTTCGTCTCAGCTTCAGAAAGTGAGGTTACTTCAAGGTTTAGGCCTGATAGGCAAGAAAATGACGACCATTCCCTTTTTAATTCAAATGCTGCTAGTCCCAACTTTGCCTTTTCTGCTTCATCGTTTTCGGGGGTGCACGGGCAACCATCAACTTCAAAGCGTATTAACAGAAAGAAAAACCCAGTTAAACTTGGGCAGGATCCATATATTTTAATTCCTAATGCAACACTTTCAATTCCTTCATCACTAAAATCTTCACAACATTCTCCATTAACTGGTGTTCACTCGCACTTTTCTACGGGGAAACCCAGTGAAAGGGATCCGCTTACTCGTCTACACAAGCCTATTAATAATTCTGTGATGGACAAAGCACGAGACGAAAAGGATGTGTCTAATGCAGCGCAAGAAGCATGTGAAAAGTGGCGCTTAAGGTTGTTTACAGCAGCTATTTCCATGCCCATTTGATTCTCCTACTCATTGTTCCTGTGCTGTTCTTATTGTCTAGTTGTTATTGTTGCTTGCTAGGTTTCTGTCTTTATCATTTATTGGCTTTTTCTTGAATGCCTTATCTCCAGAGGAAATAATGCTTACAAAAATGGAGATCTTCCCAGAGCTGAAGAATCTTATTCTCAAGGGATAGATTCAGTGCCTAAAATCGAGTCTTCTAGAAATTGTCTAAGGGCACTGATGCTTTGCTACAGCAACCGTGCTGCAACACGCATGGCCCTTGGAAGAATGAGAGAAGCAATATCAGATTGTACGATGGCTTCTTCCATAGACTCCAACTTCCTTAAAGTTCAAGTTAGAGCTGCAAAGTAAGAATCTACCTTCCTTACAACTTCTTATACTTTCTAATGAGCCAAGATAAAAGTATGTTTGGTGTTTTTAGTTTTTGATTTGAGAGCTTAGTTTTTGATCTTTTCTCTTTTATGCTTCAAGCATGAGCTGCCTAGAAATAAATCTTATAATTTTATGATGTCTATTTGGCATTTTCGTGGTAGTTGTTATCTTTCACTTGGGGAGATTGAAGATGCATCCAAGTATTTCAAAAAATGCTTGCAATCTGGAAGTGACATCTGTGTGGACCGTAAAATTATTGTAGAGGCTTCTGAAGGTCTACAAAAGGCTCAGGTAAACTTCTCTCTTCTTGTCAAGGGATGCAGTGTTCTTTGTAATTTTTTATAGTTTATGGATATTGTTGCACATGATAATAGAGACACATGTTGCATAATATCTCGCAAGGCCTTATTCACAGAATTGAATCTCACACTTCTCATTAGTTTGAATAGGATATGGACTGAATCATGCTAAATTGTATCTAAAATTTTTAATTGAGATGTGTGGCGATAAAATTACTTAATGCCATGCTGTTTTAGCTGTTGCTTGTTATATGATAGAGAATTAGAGATTGACCATCCTTTTGATCGCTATGTGAATTTTAATATCTTGCTTTACTATTAGATAAGTTCATATGAGTTAATAATTTCTACATATTCCTGAATAGAAGATTGACAATCACACGTTCTTTTTTTTTTAACCAATCTATTTTCTTTTGCCTTGCAGAGAGTTTCCGAATGTATGCATGAAGCTGGCTGTCGTTTGCAACTTAGAGCATCAACTGATGTTGAGAAAGCTTTGGAAGTACTGGAAGAATGTCTACTGATAAGTCCATACTCTGAAAAGTTACTCACCATGAAGGGAGAGGCGCTTTTGATAGTATGTTTCACTCATCTTCATAATACATTTGAAAGTGATCATTTTAAAATCTTCGGATAAGTGTGAGTAGAAACAGATAAGAAACGTGCTTTATTTTTATTTGCTGACAGCTTGAGAAGTATGAAGCAGCAATAAAGCTGTGTGAGCAGACAGTTGATTTGGCAGGAAAGAATTCTCTTCCCGTAGTCTCTATGGCTAACTCAGATTCTCATGACACTCCCAAGGACATCAATTTTAGAATTTGGCGGTGTCGTCTTATGCTTAAATCATATTTCCATATGGGAAAGCTTGAGGAGGCGATTGCTTCTCTTCAGGAGCAAGAGCAATTACTATCTCCTACCAAAAGGTGATTCAGATTTACTCCTTTTACGTTTCCTTAATGTCATATGAGGTGAAAATGAAGTCTAACATGTCTCTTTTGTCTGTGTCACTCTGATATAGTGATGGAAACAAAACTCTTGAATCCTCCATTCCATTGGCTGCTACCATACGTGAGCTGTTGCGCCTTAAGGTATTATCTTCCTCTTCTACAGCTATAGCCTGAACCTGCACTTCCTTTTCAGAAGCCAACTTAGCCACCTTGACCTGTGAATTACTTGCACGTGTAAAGGCATAAAAATACCAAAAAACCGGATTACGCATTAGTTGTGCGCTGTACTCATTTTTTGTACTATTTTTTCTACCAAATTACAGTCGGCAGGGAATGAAGCCTTTCAGTCTGGACGAAACACTGAAGCGGTTGAGCATTACACAGCAGCCTTGTCTTGCAATGTGGAGTCGCGTCCTTTCACAGCTGTTTGTTTCTGTAACCGTGCTGCTGCATATAAGGCTCTTGGTCAATTTTCGGACGCTATTGCAGACTGCAGTCTTGCTATTGCTCTTGACCAAAATTACTCAAAGGTTTCTTCCTTTAATAATATCATTATCTGGTATATTTTATTCTGTTTCTCCTTTCCACGGCACGTAGCTGGAAGATTTCAACGTCTTCATAGAACACTGGATTTGAATCTTGAGTAATAACTTCTCGTCGAAGTAAAGTAGTTCCACTCCAGCTGAGTATCAGTATTTTTGTTTACGTTTTAAATGCATATAAGCTACAGCATTTACAGAAAGCTTTGGAAGCGATTCTATTATAATTTAAGGCTAGTTTCTCTCTGGTTGTGCTGCATTGTCTCACTATATTTGTTAACATTTTTCTTTCGTTCTCAGGCTATTTCTAGACGAGCCACATTGTTTGAAATGATTAGGGATTATGGACAGGCAGCCAGTGATATGGAGAGATATGTTAATATTCAAACCAAGCAAATGGAAGAGAAGACCTCTGGAGTTCACGACAGGTTCAGTAGTTTGGCCAATGACATAAGACAAGCTCGTATACGACTTTCCGAACTTGAAGAGAAATCAAGGAAAGAAAATTCTTTGGACATGTACCGTGTCTTGTAAGTAGACTATCCTGCTAATTTAATTTTATTCCACCAATGGCTGTGTTATGTTCTCTAGTTCTTATTAGAAAAGACCCAGGTTTAGAAATGAATCTGTGGTTCCTTTGTTTTTCCGCTTTTGCGGGTGAAAGAATATTCTTGGAGACTTAGAACATGGTGGTACTGAGAAAAGTTATTGTGTCAAAGCGTGCTAATCAGAATGGGACCTCCTTTGTGGCAGGGGTGTTGTACCATCATGCTCGGCTTCAGATATCAGAAAGGCATATAGGAAGGCCGCACTCAAACATCATCCCGACAAGGTATATTATATGCTGAATATCTTAACATTGCATGCTTGTGAATTCATCTAAAAGACTAAAACTGATTTGAATGCGAAAAGCAAAGAGCTGCAGACTATATCATAAGTGCCTAAAATGATTTTTAACTTGTTGAAGGCCGGACAGTCTTTGACAAGAAACGAGACTAAAGATGAGAGGTTATGGAAGGAGATAGGAGAAGAAGTGCGCAGAGATACCGATAAATTATTTAAAATGATTGGGGAAGCGTATGCTGTGCTTTCAGACCCTGCCAAGGTAAAACACCTGAAACGATAACATCGATGATTTAAGTTTTTGAATGGATAGGACATTGGTTTATTCTTCTCTAGGATTTATGTACCCCTGAGAATTTCCATATTGTGTTTAGTTTTGATGTTCTGGTGCTTTTTGCAGCGTTCTCAGTATGATCTCGAAGAAGAGATGCATAATGCGCAGAAGAGACGTGAAGGAAGCAGCACATCTGGAGCAGACACAGATGCTAATTATCCATTCAATAGCAGTAGAAGAAACTGGAGAGAAGTATGGAGTTCACGTAGGGAAGCATCAGCTTCGAGGTGGTATGAACCAAACCGATCAAACCGATACCCGTTGTAACTGTAAGCATCTCAAAAATATCTTTTACCAAAGTTCCTCAGCAGCAAAATTTGAGGCCTCCTCCTGGAAATACTCAGGCCGATAAGGCATGCTCAGATTCATGGAGAATATACTCATCACACGATAAACATGAAAGACGAGTTGAGATGCAGAGAATTTTACTCAGGTAATGGAGAAAAAGGAGAATTGTTTACTTGTTTTGTTCTTGAGGTAGAGACTTCTCCATTGTTTCTCCATGTCCAATACGTTGAAGAAACGTTGTACAGATCACAGGAAACGCAAAGTCCATGTTTTTGATTTTGTTTGTATTCTTTGGTGTGTTCAAGAAGGTGACATGGGTCGTTAAGGAAGACAATATGTGGTCCCTCTCGTTTGCAGATCCTGTTGTTTAACCCTTTTGATTGTAGATTCTCTCAATTCATTGATTTGTGCAAAAGTTTTTTCTTTTTTTTGCTAAACAAATTTGTGCAAAAGTTCATTACATTTTGTTTGCGTTCATGAAAAAAATATGGTATTTGATTGTTCATAGAGATTTTTAATATTTATTTATGCAGTTAGAGAGTAAGTAAATCACAAAATATTAGATGTCAGTCCCTTCGTCTCCAAATGATGTGAGACGTGTTTGTTTTGTCTATTAATTGTTACGGTAAAAAAAAAGGTTACTACTAAATCAGAGTTAATTGTTAAAATGAATTAATTTTAGAGGTATTCTTTTAGTGTCACATTATTTTATGTTTGTTTCTGAAAAATACCAAATTTTTATAAAACAAATTCCTAAATTATTTAGTTACATTTGTATAAGGATGTCTTCGTTTGTCTAATTGGTGTTTGGGCTAATTATTTAATTTATACCAAATATATTAAATTTGATGTATAAAATTAAATATACTTACATAAGTATGTGTATGTGTATTTGACATAAGAATAATATTAATATGATCCATTTGATATGAACCTCTCAATACTAGCTACTAGGCTCATAGTTATAAGTTTATAACTTAAATCCAATAGAGTTCGTGAGTAGAACCCATCCAAAAGTTAGCTTAAAACTTAAAAGTGGGGTGCTAAGTGATTTTTAAAGGCATTACTTAGTCTCGATCGAGATGTCCATGTTTGGCGGCTTATATTCAGAAGACTCGTATTTGGAACTTTCCGGTTTCGTTTCTCTCCCTTTCGCTCGTCGCGTGCCCGAGGATGGAAATGGTTTTATACCACTTAATATGAAACCTATTCCATACTAGACCCATAACCAAGTCCAATAAATCTCGTACGTAGAACATTTCTTAATGCTACTTTAGGAATGGGAGTGCACATATAAAATTTTACAATGCATTTGTTAGTCCCAACTCCTAACCAATACACACTTTGTACATGTCCTTTTTTTTTTTTTGGGCAAAACACTTTGTACATGTCTATGTGTGACATCACACCTAATTTTGCTTCTTGTGTTATTGCTCCATATTTTTCTTAGGGTAGGACGGCCGTAGGTTTTTCTCCATACAAGTGTTGGATATTAATGTTTGACTCATACAACTGATTTTAATGAGCAACAACAAATGCATATATATATAGAAATTTCAAAAAAATACCACTTTTCAAGTGTCACTTTAAAAAAATGTCGCCTTTTTACAATCTTTACAAAAATGCCACTTTTTCAAAATTATTTATTCATTATATCATTTATGTTTGAGTTAATTATGTTGTATTAGGCTTTAGTTTTGAGTGTTTTAGGGGTCAAAAGATTTTTTAAGATTTAAAATTTTAATATTTAGGCTCTAAAAAATCATAATTAGTGGCATTTTTGTAAATGTGAACATAAAAATGACATTTTTG